CGGACGCACAGGCTCAGCGGCCATGGCTCACGGGCCCAGCCACTCTGTGGCATGTGGGATCTTCCCGGACCAGGGCACGAACCCGTGTCCCCTGCATCGGCAGACGGACTCTCAACCACTGCGCCACCAGGGAAGCCCTACTGCATATTTTTTGACTTCAAAAGAATGACATCTTTAGAACTGTTTCAGAGCCAACGATGATATGTGCTTTAGATAATTATTACACTATGCTAAATATAACCATATTATTTTGAATTCAAATAAATTTCTATGCTGATAAAAAAGAGAGGCACATTTCATCAATGTTTAAATAGTATCCTTCCTCCTCTAAAACTTAGAATAGGATTCAATCTGATTCCTAACGGGTTATTTTCTTCAACAACAAGAGCTGACTTAGGCCATTTCTTGGCAGTGGAATCTGAGCATAGAGGTCCCTGTCTGACTGCCCTTTGATTCTCTCTCACATTATCCTGGGTGAGTGTAATGGATGGGCATGCCCTTATGACTTAGCCCACTGATACTTCTCCTGATGAGGGTTAATGGTGTGGGCCACTTTAAATCTTGCCCAGCAAAGTGCTGACATCTGGGGTTTCCTATCAAGTTTACCAGATATTCCACAGTAATTTCATAATTTACACAACATAAAAACACTGATCTTGAGCTTAGGAAAGCATTTCATTTAAACAGATACAGAACACTACTCTACAAAATTGTTTAAAATTTGTGAGCAATTGCATTAAATAAACTCTAATATAAATTAATCTAATACAAGTAAACTAATAGTTACAAAGCTATTGGTTGCTTCAGAAGCGGTGGCTACGGATAACTTCAAAGTTGTTTCCTCAATTCATTAAGAGGAGAAACTGTTTGCTGTCAACTTATCCTTGGGGAAGCTTATTAGTTTGATGCTGATTCGCGTTATGAATATATAGGAACCATTACTGGTTCTTCCTTTCCATATTCAGTGCACCATTATACTTCTATCCTCTTAAGATCTGGATATCTGTTACTGCTACTGTTGGCTGAAGCCTGGGAGGAGGAAAGCTATCAACAAAAAAGTAAACAAGTGTTAAAGATTTTTAGCATACTACGGAGACTTTTTATCTACCATAATCATAAGAAATAATAATTAAAATGACTTATAGCCTGGTCAGTGAGACCTTGAGTAAATTTTGGCAGCATCCATGTTTCATACAGTTTCAGGGGATGAATATTTCCTGTTATTAACTCTATATCCTCTTCAACTGGCACAGAGAGACCTTTCTCTGTTGAAGCAGTTTTGTCTTTTTCCTGGGCCTTTTCAGTTTTCTCTTATTACAAACTTGTAAAGCTTACATATACAAACTTACACTTACACGTATAAAGCAAAGGGATAGAGTAGTCTTGAGAGGACACTGTTTTGTAGCAGGCACACAAGACAGATATAATATTCCCTGATTGCATTTGCCTCCCTGGCCCCAGCTCCTTTGTGGAAAAGCATCAGCATTCTGACTGGTCTCTGAACCCCACTGACTGGACGGAACACTGCATTGGCATTCTTAGGGAGCATTGATGGTCGCTCCGGAAACTGTGGTTAGAGCTTGTGCAGCCAAAGTGCACAGGAAAGAAACAAATATACTTAATATAACATGCTTACTCTGTTTTTCTTAATTAGCACTTATTCCCTGTAAGAGGCTGATTTCTGCTTTGACAGGGAGTAATCGAACTCTGCATTCCCCCAAACCATAAAATTAAAGTTAACATACCTCAGCTTTTCATCCTACTGGAAGAAATGTATGAAATTTAAAGTTATTTTTTAATTGCTGCTGTTTAGAATGCCTGAAGCCCATTCGCTGAACTTGTTAAAGAGCAGTGTTAATGAGGGTATTTTCCGCTTCTTTGTTTTCCTACCACAGCATGAATTCTCAGTCCCAAGTGTGCCCTGTTTCCCACAATAGAGACAGGGGAAAAAGTGCGAGTCTCTCACCATAAAGCATGAGACAACTACAAATACTTCTCTCCCAGAGTTCACATTGATGAGAGTCTTTGTGGAAAAGAACTTCCTCTTTTTGCGGGAATACAGTAGAAATGCAAGTTGTATTCTCCACAATTTCACTACTGGAAGAATAATTTCATAGTCCATATTTTTTATTGGTCTTCTTAAAAACATATACAGTGTTTACAATCAGGAGTAAAAGAGAAGATTTTCAATGCGATATTTCAAGGAGCATTTTCTAAAGGCAGGATCCAGTCCCAACTTTGGAAAATTAACACACACCTATGAGATCAAAGAGTCACCTGTAAAAAATTTTATTATGTTTCTCTTTCATACTAGTTTCCTAAAGATGCATTGTTACTTCTTGGTAATGTAATAGTCAGACATGACTATATGGTGGCCATTTGAGGAAGAAGTAGCTCTTACATAAGTGTCTAGTGACCTTATCTCTTTTGATACAATACCTCTTGGTTTCAAAGGCTTGCACAGATTTCCTCTAAATGAATAAACTTAGTAATATTTTTCTAACTATGAATTAGTCTAAAAGTAGATTTAGAAATCTACTTCTGAAGCAGTTTTGTTAAGTAATTATTCGTCAATTCTCTTTCTGATTGGTACTTCTTTCTGCAAAACAAATCCCTGTACTTAGAACGATTAATACCACCATCCCTGGCTCCTTGATTATCACACAGTGATGTTTCTTGAGAAAAAAAGCTTACCCTTTTTTGGGGGAAACTTCAGTCCATGAAATAAAACTTCATTAAAACTAGATCTGCTTCTAATGCCAGTGTGAGGCAGATCAGTATCCCCTTTCTTTTGACTTTCCAGGCTGTGTGAAGAGAATGGTATGATTTGGTTTAGGAAGGGTTGTAGCTTAAGAGGTTGCATTATGTTTCTGTGTCACTTTGGGGGATTTTATTTCAATATTATATCCTGTTGTGTAAAAACACCATAGTCATTCTCTTACTTATTATTAACTAATTAAACGCTGCCCTTTGTTTACTTTCCCCTTCTGATCAGAAGACTCCTCTCCACTCTAGGCCTTGATCTGAGTTCCAACTCATCAGCTTGTAGTAGCTACACTTCTGATTTCTGAAGTCAGACAGATATGGGCCCCCTTTCTGTCTTCATCAGTTATAATTTAGCCTCTGATATATGCATACCAGAGCTGGCAGTGACACACATTTTGCTTCTCCTTATTTTCCCAGGGTTCTTTGCATTTTAATAGAGGTTCACAATATTTTAAGTAGAGTTGGGATGGGGTGGAAAGAAGGAGCAGGAAAACATGCTTTTAGGAAGGTCTGAAATACAAATCACATGCAGGTAACTGCTTGAGAGAAAACCACGCCTACCCGAGTATTGTCAATAAAGTAGCACAGGGAGGCAAACGAATAAATTGTTCACTAAAAATATTCTTCTTTAGAAGAATAAAATTCACAAGAAAGCCTCAATGCAAATCAAATATATTTGTTTTCCTCAAGGAAGATATTTGAAAAGTAGTAGTAAATACCTACTTTGACCTTCTGTGTCCCTAGTGTTCTATCTCCACTAAGTTTTAGGAACACTACACAGAGGAGGAGCCTGAGTCTCAAAGACCGTAAGTAAGAGATGGATTCCAGAGCCTTTGCAAGGTCCATTATGTCCCATGACTTCCCATTGCTTGTGCTGTTCATCCAGATAGGTGCTTAGGATACCAGAATGAATACATCTCTTTCAAGAGGTTTTTAACAGACATTAGATAATAAACAAGTACAACACCTAACAAATAGAACATAATGCTTTATTTAAAGCAGAAACAGAATAAATGCTCACCTAGTATCGTTTAAATCCCCTTTAAATTATTTTTTGAATCAACATGTTTATATTTGAGGGTATTTTCTTATTTTTTCCTAGTTCCCTTTACTTGCACCTCCTTTCTTTTGCTCTTTTCCCTACTGAAATGTTTATGGTTTCAAAAGTAATTACTTCTTGAAGAAAGTTTTCGTGTATACTAAGTGCTACCTAATGGAAGCCATAAGCATAGAGTCTGCTAGCATTTAGAGTGGTGTAATACATAGCCAGGTTGAATCAAGTGGGAGAGAAGGTTAATCATTCTTTTATACTGGCAGTGTTGCCGGAGGTGGATTAATATGCTTTTTGAATCTCTTATGTGCTGTAAGTCTTCTTGATCACAATCACTATGTTAATGGTTTAGGTTTTGAATTAGAGGTGTCTCCTGGGGTCAGCTGGGCCAACTCCCTTAATCTCTCTGGCCATATTAGGTGATAGTTTTCTCATTTCAATACATGATCTATGTTAGAGGGAGTGTTGACTATACCAGACTCTTAACGTGGGCACCCGGAAAGTGGAAGAATCTCTCTACTGGCGATTAATCATAACTCTTTTCATTGTGAATATAGTCCTTCCCTTAGGTAAGGCAGGAACACCATGAAAAATAGAAGGTTCTCAGGTGTCTGTGGAAACTGGAGTGCTCTCGACCTGTGAGCTTGCTGGCAGAGCAGGCTTCGCCCAGACACTAGAGAACAAAATGTGAAATTGGCACCAGCCAGCCTCTCCATTGCACAGGATATCCCTATTTAAATTTGACAACCAGGATATTTTACAATTTGAAATTCTTGTCATCTGGTTTTCTTTAGTTTCTTCTTTAGGATGAAAAGACTGAGAAGCTTGTTAAAAAATGTGGAATTCTGATGGTGAGGCTTAACCAGATCTATTGAGTCATCAATCAGCAAACATTGACCAACGCTTACCATTCCCCCAGTTACTATACTAAGGACCCAGACACGTCTCAGATAGTGGCCTTGCTCATTCACTGTATTTACAGTACTTTTTTCTAAATGTAACCAGAGCTCAGGTAAAGACAAGACATTGATTTGAGTCTGAAGTAAACAAAGCTGACTGGTCTGATCCCTTCAGTTCCCAGAATTATTTTGTTTCAGGTAGTAATTTTCCCAGACCAATAGAACAAAGTCCTATCGTCTATTTATTTAATATTTTATCACAATAGTCCTTGCCCCTTTGACCTCTAGTGAGGAAACTTGCATAAGAAACTGAAATATGCTTAGGTTCTATGGGTAAGTGCAGATAATGATATGAATGAAATTGAAAATGAAAGCCAAATGTAGAAAAGGCAATTCTGAATAGATTAAGTAAGACAGAGGTATTTGAAAAATCAAGTAGAAAAGATACAGTAAGGAATGGAGAGCTTCTGGAAGTTTTCCAATAGGTGAGGGGTTGGTACTTTTTTTTTTTTTTTTAAGAACATATCTGGCAGTTGTATGCCAGAGAAAGTTACAAGGGGGTTGACTATATGCATGAAGTCCAGTGAGAACACTGTTTCTGTAGGCCACTGATGATGTTCTGAGTGTACATTCTATAGTACTAGAAATTAAGTTAAGAAAGAAAGGGTAATCTGATGTCATTTTAAATGAAATTTCACAAATGATTAGAGCTAAAAGGTGTCTTTTTTCACTCAGCCAACACGTTGAGCACATACTATGGGGCAAGCACTGTGCTTACGGGTAAGAGATAAAAGAAAAAATAAAGGCCAGGGGAACTCAAAAGAGAGTGTGAGAGATGCATAAACAACTCATTACAATTGAATAGGGATAGGCTATTAAATAAATAGTTCATAAAAATGTAACTTTGTAAAACAGAACTTGGAGTCAATAACCCTGCTAGGGGATATTGAAGAGGATGCCAACAATGAGGGGGTCTTGGAATTAGGTTTTGAATGTCAGTAGGAATTTTCCACGTGGAGAGAAGGTCAGGGGCATACCAGGCAGAGGAACATCCTGGACTTGAGAACCAACACAGTCTATTTAAGTGATTGTAAATGAGATTTTTTTTTGACTAGAGCATAGGGTATACGTTGCCAAATGGTAGAAAATAAAGTATAACAGTTAGGCTGGAATAAAAGTATAAAGTGTCATAATTCATATGATGAAAGATAGGTGTTTTCCTACAAAATGGGTTACTTATAAATATTTTAAAAATAGAGACTGCTGTGTAAGGCTTGAAAAAATACTAAATCAGAGTCGTACTGAGCTCAGGCTTAGTGGTGAAAATT